TCAGTGATGTCCCGGGACTGTGCAGCTGATCGCTGTCAGTGACGTCCCATAACTGTGCAGCCGGTTACCATCAGTGACGCCCCGGACTGTGCACCCTACCACCGCCAGTGACGCCCCTCAGCTCGGCAGCCGAGACCCGACGGTGGTATTCCGTGACCAGCTGCAGCGTCCGGCAACCTCGGCTGCGGCGGCTCGTGACCGCTGGCGTGTCGACCGCGAGCTCCTGAGCCGACGGGCGCGGGGTGCTGACATCACGTGGCAGTTGGCGGCCGCCTCAGACCGCCTGATATGGTGGTGGCTGACCCCGTAAGCGGCCTAGCGCGGGCTCAGCCGTCTCAGGGGAACGTAATCCGACCCGTTCCCGTTCCGGTGCGTGGACTACCATCCTCTCTCCGACACTGACGGCGTGTTCGTGAAGGGAAGCGTCTACTGCCCGATCATTTGCAGCATCGACCTATACGCGATATGTTGACCGAGAGCTTGGAGGAACTGTCTTTCTAAACAGTCTTGCTTTAGTTGAGCGTGTAGAAAATCGTGGAGCGCCTCCTAGAATCGCATGGCGCCTGCTTGCAATAGAGGCTGTATTAAGATGCACTTCTTATCTATCGTTACATTAAACATCACAGGGCTGGCTTTGTTTGCAGTGCAAGTCTTCTAGAAGATTTTCATTAATCATTAATGAAGTTCACGCTCATAAGACCTGGCTACCGAGGCGTATTAAGAATTAAATCTGAATTTAATAAAGAATTAAAATCTGAGGGAGCATGATGAAAAAGATTGGAAAGCCCGATCTTGAAAACATTGTAACCATAACCGTATATAGATTATAAGCAGCGTATGTTATGCGAGGTAGCCTATTTCAATTCAAATGAGCTGAACGTGGTGTCGTTGTCTTTGCCGCTGGTTCGCAATGACCTTATACAGATGAGCCTGTGGCCAGCATGGCAGTTGTGTTATGAGCAAGAGTGTTGGAACGTCCCAAGAATTTGGAGCGCCAAGCCCCGTTTTGAAGTTGATTCTTCCCACGCAGGGCCAGAGGGTCAACGTCAAGCTTTCACATAACGGAAGGCTTTCGCCGCGTCCCCACCCTTACGCAGCTACTGCAGCTATGGCGTTGAAGAATGTGTGTCGCATTGTGTCCCAGTCAGTCACAGCGTTGAGACAATGCTGCGTGACATCGCGTTCCATGTAACGAAAATCGCTAAACCCCTATCGTCTACACGGCGCACAGCTCCTCGACGACACGCTTCTATCGGTCTTGCCGGCGCCATCTGATCGTCTCGAGCTTTCAACCCTAGCGTCCCAGGCGGCCCCCTGGGCCGTTATCCGCAGACCGACGTCATCTATATCACGTTTGTTCAGCCCCACGCGGCTCTCGCCCAAACCGGCCCGGCCTTTCTCGCCGTCCCCAAATCGGAGCCGACGACCTGCGTCTATCGCCGGTCGACGGCGGCGTTTTTCTTCGCGCCGCTCCCCGGCCGCTCCCTATCGTCGCGAGTCGCTCCCGGGAGACTGATCAGGGCCAGTGACCGCCCCCCTCTCCCCCCCCCCACCCGACCCCGTCCCGATCAATCGGTATGGCTATCAATGGGGGCGGCGGCCCGGCCCCGGTCGCCCAATGATGCATGACCGCACGGTTCAGCCCTCTGCCTCGTCCCCGCAGTCGGCGGCGGCCGAATGAGAGCAGGCGTCTGGCGGCAGCCCTTCTGCTGGTGGCCCTGCCACGGCTCCCGCCCAGCGACTTCACGGCGATGATTGGCTGTTGTCTCCCGTCTGCTGGTTACCGTCTGGATATTTCGTTGTTGCGGTGCCGATTCTGTTCGGACTCTGTTTTTGGGATTTCCGTGTTTTGGGGCCGTCTGGTGGTATTTGTTTGGGGATTTCTGTGTTGTGGTGCCCATCCCTTTGGACTACCGTTTGAAGGCCCCTGTGTTTTGGTGCCGTCTGGTGGTTTTCGTTTGGGGATTTCTGTGTTGTGGTGCCCATCCGTTTGAGCGAGCGTTTGAAGGCTTCTGTGTTTTGGTGCCGTCTGGTGGATTTCGTTTGGGGATTTCTGCGTCGTGGTGTCCATCTGCTTGGGCTCCCGTTGGACGGTGCTGCCGTCTTAGTGCGGTCTGGTGGTGACCGTTTGGTGGAGGCCATTTGGTGGTCCCTGCGTGTAGTTCTCGTTTCGTCGAGCCCGTCAGGTGACTTCGGTCTGGTGTCCCCAATATTCTGTTTCCGGTCTGCTGGCTCCTTTAGCTATTTCTGATCGTGGGTGTTTATCTGTGGGTTACCCCTTGCTGGCCTCCACCCGACCACTCAGATCTAGAGCTGGCGTCTGGTGTCCTCCGTCTGGGGGCCTTTGCCATATGCTCTGTGTATAACTTTCCTCGCCTGCCGTGTTCCGTTTTATGAATTCCGTCAGGCGAATTCTGTCAGGTGGTTCCCCTCTGGTGGCTTATGTAGGGTGGATCCCCTCTGGTGGCTTATGTCGGGTAGTTCCCCCTCTGGTGGCTTATGTAGGGTGGTTCCCCTCTGGTGGCTTGTCAGGTGGTTCCCGCCAGGTGGCTTATGTCGGGTGGTTCCCCTCTGGTGGCTTATGTCGGGTGGTTCCCGCCGGGTGGTTCCTCATAGGTGGCTTCTGTCGGGTTTTCTATCGATAATTTCTGTCAGGTGGTTACTGTCGGGATAGTCTCTTTCGGGGATTTTTATCGGATGGTTTCTGTAGGGATGGTTCCTGTCGGGGGGGTTTCTGGCGGGCAGTTTCTGTCCTTGGTTCGTGTCCAGCGACTCCCGTCTGGTAGTTTTCCTCTAATGGTCCCCGTCTGCTGACTCCCGTCGTTGGCTGCCGTCTGCTGGCTCCCGTCGTTGACCGCCGTCAAGTGACTTATGCCTGCCAGCTCCCGTCTGACAGCTCCCGTCCGGTGCGCGCTCTGCTGGCTCCCGTCGTTAACTGCCGTCAAGTGACTATGCCTGCCAGTTTCCGTCTGGCAGCTCCCGTCCGGTGTGCGCTCTGCTGGCTCCCGTCGTTGACCGCCGTCAAGCGACCCACGCCTACTTGTTCCCGTTTGACAGCTCCCGTCTGACAGCTCCCATCCGGTGCGCTGTCTGCTGGTTCCTGTCTGGTGCCTCCCGTCTGGGGCAGCCCTGCCCGGGTGCTTCGGCCGGAGTCGGGGCCCAACTGGCGCCCACCGGCTGTTCCGGTACATTGACCGCCGCCGGGGAGACGGCGACGGCGGCCTCATGCCGACAGCCCTGGCTGGCCGAACACAGCAGCCAGATCGGCACCAGGAATTGGAAATGAGCCTTGATGGAACCATTCGGCTGCATGGAAATCTCTGTGGTAGTTTTGGAAGACCGCTGGCTTATTCTGCCGGGTCGGGCTGGGAATATATTAAACATAACAAGCCTCGAGGAGCCGCGTTATTCGTGCCTTGCGTCGTCAGGCCCGTATAGCTCCACCTCCAGCGAGGATGTAACTTTTCTCGTGTGCTTCAGGTCTTAAACAGCCAAAAACTGTGTGGAGCAGACAGCACTCTTAGAACTCCTAAAAAGCACACATCAAAGGAGCACAGGATCTTGCCAAAACAAAACGTAACTTTGCTTGACGCGACGTATGCACATGTAACGTCAAAACGAAAGATATCCTCAAGTTTTTTAGATGTAAATGCAAATGAGGGAACACGGATTGCTTGTTACCTATTTACACCGATCTTCCGCTGGAGATCAGCATGGAAACCTTGCATTTTGCTCCAACATTTTGAGCCAACGCCACGTGGGCCTGAGTTAACTTACGTTCACCTTGTTCACTTTAAGCCAACGCCACGTGCGCTTGAGATGGCTTGTGTTCACCTTGTACATTGATCCAAGCTATTTCACTGCGAACTTCAGCAACCTAGACCGGGCACAAGCGAAGTGAAACACATGCAAAGATGCGCCCAGGGCTGATAGGACTGTCTGTGGATCTGAGCTCATATTACATATCTTTATCTTGCTTCCATTCTGGCCTAAAAGCCATCTGTTCCCTTGGGGTGTAAGCCCAACTGCGTTCCTAAATATTTGAAATGCGTGGCATAAGTTGGCGGGTGCCGTGCTGGATCTAGGCGTCAAGCTAAATTACATTTGATAGACTGCGAACAAACTATGTAATAAGCCGAAGGGCAAGGTAGATGTTCAAATTCTCGAGATCCTCAGGCTGTTACCGCCTCATTATTGCTGGAGCATGTAGCTCCGAAAGTCTTAGAGCAGCAGCTGAATTCGCCTGCTGTCAGAACAAAGGCAGCGCCATATCTATTGGACGTATTTTGTATTTGAAACTTCCACTAACGGAACTTCACACCCAACACTGCACCATGCCCGGCCGGGTGGTAGGCTAGTATTGCCCCCCACTTCGGCTCTCTGAGCAGCCTGAGCGGTCTTCAGCGGCCGTATTTGGCCTGAAGAGGACCCCGGCGTTGCCGGGGCGTCCTCAGCGGTCCCCGAGCGCCACTCCAGTGGCGGCAGAGCGGCTGACACAGCCGGCAGCCGCCTCGCCGCCGGCGACCATTGTCCGCGGTCGGTCCAGTCGACCGACCGCGGCCCAGCCGCAGTACCCACCCCCCACCACCCCCACCTTCACCCTGCCGGCCGCGGTAACCCCCCCGCCGGACGCAGTAATCCTCCCGCCGGCCACAGTACCCCCGCCGGTGTGCAGTACTCCAGCGCCGGCCATCAGTACCCCCGCTGGCCGCAGAACCTAACCACCGGCCGCGGTACCCTGAAGCAGTACGCCCCGCCCGGCCGCCTTAACCCCCCCGTCCGAATTACCCCCGCCTGGCTCAGCCCCCCCCCCTTCCCCTCCCGCCGGCCGCAGTACCCCCCCCCCCCCCCTTCCCCTCCCGCGCCGCAGTACCCCGCGGACAGCCCGGTGCGGCGGCGGCGGTGCAGGGCTGCGCCGACACAGCTCGCCCCCGGGGCAGGCAACGGTGGCCGGCAGTGCGGCGCCGCGGCCCGGACGGGACGGCGCGGCGGCCGCGGCAATGGCGGCGGCGCGTGCCCTTTGCAGCGCCATCCTGCTGGCGGCGCTGGCCGACCGGACTCTCTCGCAAGGTATGCGCAGCTGGTGGGTTCACCTGCTATGACGACCCTCTCGCAGTTTATGTGGGTCAAAGCTGTCCATTACACCGACGTTTTGTGAGTGGAATCCCTTCATGGTGGTCATTTGATTAAGTGCTCCTAGTGTTGCTGCATGTACTCATCGATCTGCGACGTATACGACAGTCCCATGAATGATTGATGCGCTCCGATCAGTCACCTCTGGCTCACACAGATGCATAACCGCGTTAGCTCGTGAACAATCATTACATGGCTCGCTTAAGTTTGGTCGGAAAAATCATGAGCTTCCACTAGCCGTTTTGGGTGTTGCGGTACCGACGGATGACAAGGAACGTGGATGGGGCGATGGGGTGGGGATAAAGGGCGGTGTGGTGTAAGGGGATTTATACAAGATTTAAAGGAAGCGTTGTACTTTTGAAATGTATTACACCAACATTTTGCGATGAGTGCCTGGGGTATTTATCACGTGCTTAACCTAAAAGGTGAGCCTGGTCACTCGAAGTAAAGAGTAAGCAGTTGATAATGGTTTGATTTCAAACAGAGTAGCTGGTGAAAGATGTAAACAGTGATATTTCACTTCTAGTATGGCGGGGACCATAATGTGCAGGTGGGTAATCCGTCAGAACAAGTCGCCCCAGAGGATTTTACGGTTTGGGTAAATCCATGAGTGCCCAAATGTAGTAGGTAACGGGTTGACTTAATTACCGACTTGGGGAAAATTAAAGGGACGAAGACGGATGGGTAAGGCGTTTGCAAAATGTCGTGTAGATTCTTCAAAGTATTACTATACAATACTGCTAATTGTGCTTCCTTTAGTCACGATTAACTCCATTCACACTACTTTTTCAATTATAAGCACAAAGAGTACGTTTCGGCGTAAACTCTGGAAACCTTTTCATATGTAGAGCTTAGCGCTGAGCGACTCGAACGGACGTGTAATTGGATGGCATAGCTGACAGCAAATGGGCAGCGTATGGGGAAGGGCACAACCCTTTTGGATAGCGGGTGGATCAGGTCAGGAAAATCTGACCTGTGAAGACCTCTACCGCCCCGTGAAGATCTCTTCCTACACACGTGGCAGCGAGATTGTAGCTCTGGCGATGACTTACGGTGACGTAATTATGTGTCGAAACCTTAAGCACCACGGTTGGCGCTGGATTGGAATTATCTGAACCTCGTATCATAAGCGAGTAACGTACCAGCATTCACACAAATTGTGACGGTGACGATGTGGTCGGAAAGTGCGTATGGTAAACAGGCATTTTTGCCTGACCTGGGTAAAGCAAACTAAGATTGTAGTGTATAAGACATGCGTTTTTTTAAAGCGGTAAGCAAAAAAGCCCGGTGAGAAAATTCCACAAGGATAACTAATTCAAATGGAATGCCAGAGTTATTGGGAAAAATATAAGGGAACTGGCAACGCCGTCCAAATCAGCTCTCGAGGTGACGCCACCCCAACAAGGCAGCTTCACGCGATTCATTTTTCCCCTTTCAAGGTCTATATATTCGCGGCCAGTTAGTGCTTGGGCTGCTCAAGCCAAGCCAAGCCATGATAAGATCACTTGTGACTTTTGATTTGTTTTTGACTACAAAGGGCTACCTTAGACAAAAAATTGTTTTTTATGAAGATATTTCTCAGTACGTCATCATATGATTCCGTCGGGAAACGTCTTCATGGCATCAGAGCCACTGCCAGACAGGTCATGAGAGAATTGCCACTGTAGTGGACGGGTCGACTCTCTTGCATTGCTCCAACTTGCCGATAGGTGCCGGTGTTTTCTAGAACCTGTTTACTGCGCCCAGATATCGCTATTGTCTCATGTTTGGCCCGTTCTCTCGGTGTTGCTTCACATTTGTCCGCCATTATGTTTGGTTGTTGTTGCTTCCATTGACATGCTTGGTAAGGGTGCCACGTTTAAAGGCAATGTTTCAGGTTTGAAAAGATTGAAGCAAACATCAGACATGACATCAGAAACAAACACCATCAGTCAAGTTGGCTTATAGCTATTGGTATAATTTTTAAGTGGAAAGGACTGCATAATTCTCGGTTTAGTAACTTGTTTCTTAATGCGTCATCGTTCGACTACGTCATGGTTCTTTGCACAACATCGACTGAGAGCCCATTGACGGTCGTTATATCTGGACATTGTGCTGACGAATGCCAAATATGAACGCCTCGACAACTATGGCCTTGATCGTCGCATGGCTTATGAAATAACAGGATTTGAATGTCGTTTGTATGGCATCGAAAATGCCAAGGTAACTTTGAAATACTCCCTTACCGAAATACTCTCCCCATTTTCGCAGGCGCATAGCCCCAAAAATAGAGGGGCTTAGGTCTTAAGAAGGGCAGGATGATGAACAGCACGGAAATGTCTTCAAGGTGGCCATTCCATTTCAAAACCACATATAAATGTGGAACACTGCCTTTAAGTTACTCCATTCCTTTTCTCATTCCCGTCACAACTCGCACCACTGCCCGAATTCCTGTATTATGTCGCACAAAACGTAGTTTGTGTTCGAAACTTGCGCTCAACGGGTTAAACTAGTTGAAAGCCAACTGACCTGCGCCAACGACTTCAAATATAACGTTAGCAGACTGGCCTTTGCTACCTGACTGTCATCCTTGGAGGCTACTGAGCGGACGCCAACCTACTGTACCACGGATCTTAACATCTGCTTGTCTGTCATGCGTGTCCTCACTAGCACGTCCAGGGACGTGTACACAAAGCGCCACATGTTTTGGTCTTCCATCTACTTCGCTCAGGCCGCTGGGTACTGCCTGTAGCGTTCACGCGAGGTCGTGCCACCTGCAAGGCCTCCCCAATCTGCCCCAGCGCACTGACTCCAGTCCGGCGCTCTGCGACCGTGCTGGTCAGACCTTTGCCCTGGGCCGATTAGACGCGGATTGGGGTCTGTTCAGGGCCGGTGTTAATCAGTCATGGTGTTGCCTTTGAATGCTGGCGGGGTTTTGGCACTGGTAGGGTGGACGTTGGCCGGTGGCTCCGCAAAAGCCCGCTGCGTGGAAGAGAATGTTCTAGACGGGCCATCTTTCAACTTCCGCGGTGCGCACCCTGTAACGGCGCCCAAGTAAACAACTTAATTGATCTGTCTTCTTGCTTCAAAAAGCTGGATTGATAGCGTGGACAACGAAAATGCTGGGCTTTGTGGGGGAAATGAAGTTAATGTCCAGATCCTATTTCGGTAGTTGAACAGGAAAGCAAACCGTTTATCATCGCCGCATCGGCAGAACATCTTCCGCACTATCAGCTGCGAGGCAGCACAAATGCCCAATGTATGTACTATCCGCCGTAAGTGAAAGGATCAGCGCTGTGTTTCGCAGTAGGCTTAATGGCACTCACATGGGGCTCACACTGAACTCAATCCGTCATACTGGTTGGTAATGATCGCAAAACCCCACTCAAGAGACCCGAGCTGCTCATGCTATTCAGTGGACAATGTTCATTAATGCAAGTACGTCACTGCTGATTTATGGTGGGCTCATAATTTTCACATTCATGGTGCTCCTGACCTCGATTCAGACGTTTTCAGAAAATGTATTTCTAGTGGAGAATGGGTATGTGGTCATGATGCCGTTAATTTAGGTCAGGCTGGTGCAGTTCGCTCTTGCTGACAATCTGCTTTTATACTCAAGGAACATTCCTACCGTCGCCAAACTTTTCCCGCTATCGCAATCAGCTAAATGATGATCTAACGCACACAGCCAGACACGTGTTCCGTTTTGCGTGCAAGTGGAATAGACCCAATCAACCTGGCTTCACACGACAAGTCCTGAATAAACAATCAGATCAAAAGCGCAGGAGTTGGAGCGCGAAAAGGGCCACGCATAGTGGATGATACACCAATCGATGTGTCGCAGTAGGGGTGACCCTGGGTCGCAGCAGGTGACCCTGCTATGACAGGCTGTGTGTGCTATCATTTGAATACTCGAAGCATTCTTGTCTTCTCATCTCCTTACGAGATTTCCTGGTCGGTCTGTATGTGACTCAGACAGGCATGTAGGTACATGGCAGACGCTGGAACGGGGCTGTATCCTGAACTACTGTCACATAAATTTATTATTGTCGCCTAAATTGGCCATGGAAACCTATACTTCGATCGGGCCTCATCCCAATTAGTTCCGACCGCGGTCGACTCTTATTCGTTGCAAACTCGGGACTCGGAAACAGCTGATGCACCGAGACAGAGTCGAAGTGGGGCTGCTGAAGAGAGGCTCAGCACGAAACCGCGTGAGACTGCCGTGTCGTCAGCGCCGTAACCACTCACGGTCCGGGCGGCCTGATCTTAACCACGGCCGTGCAAGGAGGCGCCGCGTGCTGAAATATCCGGCGAGCTCACCTGTCTGGAAACCGAGCTGGTGGTGCAGATAACTCAGTCGGGTGATCGCGTGACCAGCCATCACTTATGCCGGCTATTACCGTGCATCGGCGCCTACAGCGCGAGATTACATCATTCAGGTTCGTGGATGTGTGCTGGCACCGGGAGCGGATTACGGAAGCTGAGTATTCCATCCAAGCTGGGTGTTTGGAAATTTGATTTGGAATGATTTGTGTCGAGCACCTGCAAATGATGTGCATTTGCAGGCAAGACCACTGACAATGCAACTGTATTATCAATGATGTAAAATTCGTCTGACGAGCTGGTAGAGCTGTGGGAGCGTCGGGGCGACTTACTGCACACCAGACACCAATCCAAACGTTATAGATCTGGGCGGCCGAGGTTGAGGGGTGTTCGTAGCTGATAAATGCCGTTGGAATACCGTTTCCAGCTGGGTGATATGCTCCTGTAATACCTTAGACGTTTTTTCTTCACAGATTCTTCGTAGTTCTGTCAACTCATCTGATGTCGTATATTAACCGATATTGGCTGTACCGAATATGATGCTGCAGGACTCTCCCATTTTCCGGCAACGACTCTTATACAGCTCTTTGGGGAGATCGCTGTCGCCGATTCAACTTCTCAAAAAGTTTTTATTCAGCGTCGACCTCAGCGTGACTTAGAAACATACAACAATGTTGTGCACATAGTTCGATACAGGCGCAACTGCGTCCGTGCATAAACGCTCTCGTTGACTTTTATTTAGCTGTGCATTTAGCTATTTATTCAGCTGTTTATGTTAGGAAAGTGATGTGAATGAGGGAGCTTCAAATTAAATGCTTGACTGGTTATTCCGTGAGGACGTAGAACGACCAACGTAGTCTACGTGTTACTGGACCTCAAATGTCACTGTAACATCCGCTAAGAAAACCATTCGAATTGAGTAAACGTCATGCTTAAAACGGGAGCTCCGGTGTCTGGGCGCACGGACTGGTTTAATTTCAAATGTTCAATAGATGAGATTGCATGGTGCAATAGCAATTTTGCAACCTGTAGGCATAATTCATTTTTTACATTTCCTTAAAAGAATATATGATTTGGGGCCAGCGAAATTTTCCTTCCCACCAACGATATATTGCCTAGCCTGGCCAGAGCACACCGTGCCAAATGCAGCATTGATCGCCTGTGAACCATTAGTGAACTCTAAGCGCCCACAGCCGCTTCCAAAATGTCGGCTCTATGCATGCGTCCATGTATAAGTGATGGGAAGGCAGCCTTCGATGGGAATATTGTGCCTCACATTGGCATTCGGTAGAAATATGCCTCTAACTTTTGTTCAGCAACTGGCCATCTGTCAAAGCAAGAGCTTGCATTGTTCGCTGACAGTTTTACCGTCAAAGTTGGCACAGCGAGGACGGCTTGACGGGCTTTGTTACGGGGTTACGGGTTTGCGGGTCCCGAACCGGAACGGGAAGAAAACAAGCTCAGTAAGCTGTAAAATGAAACAGTATCCTTAAAACCTAACATCTAAGGGTATCCTGACATGCATAGGTCGCACATGCTGCCAATTTAGATCGTCTTTACCTTCCCGTTAAGCTGTTTTTAAGCTGGCAAACTAACCTACACCTAACAGCCCATAAAGACAGAATGCGATTCGGCTGTCGCGATATGTCGCATATCGGGCTGATTAATTTGATGGGTTGAAACTTTCATCAAAGCTCATATGCGTGTTCTTCATACCTGGTAGGGCCGATGGAAAAAGATAAGCACAACCCTCTACGGCTAATTGGCTAAAGCGAAGCATTTCCATTCCAAAAGTAAGATTCGTTAAGGTGCTGTGAAAGAGACGCGTGACGTTGCACTTGTCTCTGTTTTTCAAACCAGCGTTCAACCTATCTTCTTTGCTCGCAGCCCACACAGTAATGCCCATCTACAGCAAATAGGTATTTGAGCGCTACATCCTCCCCGGGGAGGTACAGCGCTATTTGGGAGTTCATTTTCCGTCAGCGCCGGTCGTTAGGTTCTTGACACTGCAGAAGAAGACGGCATGTGAAATTCACGGGGTGCTGAGTAGTGTAGTGGTTAAGGTGCCTGCGTCAACCACTGCGCGTCTGGGAAACAGAGGTGGGGATTCGATTGCTTGTGGTGCCCGCCCTTCCTGCCAGGGCGAGAGGCAGGCGATGCCATATAGTCTCAGCAGCTGCGTGCGTCGTAAAGCCCCAATGAGACATGCATACGCACACGCACAGGCACACACACACACACACACGCACGCACCACGCACGCACAAGCACTCACACACACGCACGCACACGCACGCACACGCACGCACGCACGCACGCACACGCACGCACGCACGCACGCACGCACGCACGCACGCACACGTGAAATTCACAAAGATGCTAAGATTGTATGGCGATAACGCCCTTTCCGAGACAAACTGGTGCGTCCGCGGGTGCCTGCGCTGTGGAGGAGGGTAGGAAGAGCACGCGGGCCCGCCACGGTCGGTGGAGTGAAAACACGGACTCTTCCCCTCACCAAAAATCGTGTTCAAATATCGTTCGAAAGAGCGATGCACACCATGCCTTGGGCCCGCGGGGCAGAATAGAGGCCAGCCCAGTTCCCAAAGGTTCCACTGTCACAAACTCGTGGTACAAAACCATCCTGAGTAAACATCTCCTTCAGGCCATCGCGAAACACACGCCTCTGAGAAAGACGCGCGAACCGTTTCGCTCTTGACCACCACAGCGCCCGCCTCATCGCGCCGCTGTTGCGACTGAAACTCTGACTGACAACACATCGAGCTGCTGAAGCAGCCTCCGTACTCCTCGGACCCCGCCCCAAATGAATTCTGATTGCTCCTTCCAAAGAAGCAGCGCCTTCGGGGGCGACGCCTCCCACCGTGGTCCGCAGTGGCATCGGCCGTGTTACATTACGGCACATGTACGCCCGCTCAGAGCTTGGGTTAGCCCTTGCCACGCATATATATGTGTATATATATATATATATATATATATATATATATATATATATATATATACATATATAAATACGTGCATATCTGATATATATATATATATATATATATATATATATATATAAATACGTGCATATCTGTACTTTTTGGCGGTTGTGGATCAAGTATGAAGCTGCCATTTTTTTTTGTCAGCTTGATGAAACTTCCATTTTAGTTTCTCATCCCTGCTCTTCCGCCACCCAGCTTTAAAGTCTGGGAAGACTGGTCCTTCAGTTTTCGAGAAAAACATGGACCGAGTTCGACCAGATCTTCGCCACAATAGCTGCCAGCGAGCTGTCCGAATGGCATCAGGGAGAAAGCCGTAATTGGTGGGGCCTGACATATCGGGGATCAAATCAATTGGAAGGGACGCTGCGAAGATTGCATTGGATTCAGCTCGGACAGATCTGTCTTGTAGTTGATCAAAACCCATAAGCGACGTCGCCTCAATCAGAAGCTGTGCGAACGTACATGACATCCCGCGACACGGGCGTCTGATAAAGGCATTGTCAGCACGTTCGGTCCCAGTCGGAGGCGCTGGGTCGACTCGGCCTGAGTGGCGACCTCTGGCTGGCGGCCGGCCGACGGGCGCCGGTGCTCGGCCCCGATCGGCGCCGCTCCCGGCCCCGCCGCCGTCGGCGGCCACCGGACTCATCGGTTCCGACGGCGGCCCATCGGCTCCGAGCCGCTGACGTATCGGCCCGGTCTCCTCGCGCCAATTGCCTCTGCCGTCGACGGAGACGGGCGGCGCGCGCGCGGACGCCGCCGCAGAAAAAGACGCGCCCCCGGCAGCCGCGCGCGCGGACGCCTTTGTCCTCAGCGTGGAAGCGCGGGAATCCTTCAGGCGGAGCGCTGACGGCCGGATAAAAAGCCGGGAGCGGCTGGGCGCCGTATCTCTCGGATCCAGCGCGCCACGGCTGCCGCAGGAGCGCCGGCACCGCCCCAACGGCAGCCGCCGGCCGGCCGCTCCCATCGGTCATGACGTACCGTGCTTTTTACCGACGCGTGTCGCCGGCCCCAGAAGCGACGATCGACGATCCGCGGGGACGGTGGCCGGTTGCCGCGAGCGATGCCGGTGGCGGAGTGCCAGGAATGCCAGTTCTGGCCAGACATGACATTACCTGCTCATTATTTGCCCATGTATTTGCTCATTACCTGCCCATTACCTGCATTACCTGACATTACTTGCTCGACGCCGTTTCGACCAATTTCGTTGCGTGAGAAATTACGGAAGATATCGATGTTTGGGAGCTTGGTGTTATGGCTCTTGGCATTTTCAGAACCGCATTATGAATGCTTTTTGGTGGCTGCACAATGTGCACGTGCTTCACATCACATTTATCTGCATGCTAACTAGGTCTCATGTAATGTCTAAATAATGTCAGGGTAATGTCTTGTACACGCATGCTATGTACAAGACATTACCCCCAGCATACTAAACGAATATGTCGCCATCACCTTTTCCGCCCACAGATTCGTCAGGATGGAGCATTGTGTTTGATATTTTGGGCGCTTCTTCAGCTGGCGGCAACTGGTCCGAATGCTTGGAGAACTCTGCCAGCTCATATGACTTGAATACGATTTACAGGCCCGGAGCACACGTCTTCTTCAGACATCACTGCGAATATCTCAGATAACATACAACCGATGTCTAGAATTGCGTGGGATTGCGACCGGAAGATGAGACGGCTCCATCGGCCCTTTCAGCCGCCATATTGATTTTATGATCGGAGAGAAGCGTCTGAAGGAAAGGCACGCTTGGGTGGCTACGTTAAATCCTTCAGCAGAGGGAAATGCCTCCCGCGCTGCATCCATCCCCAGCGATACGGCGTTGAGTTTCGCTGAGATATTACTGCAATAATTTAATCCGGCCAGCAGTCTTGAAATTTGACCCTACGATTCCCCTGAGGCTATAACCTCAGGGCACAGCGCCACTGAGCCAGGAATTAGAAAGTGGCTTCGATCTCCAACAAATTACCCGCTGTGACAGAAGCTCTCAAGGCGACAAAGTCGTGCCGCGAGATTTATGGGCAAATCTGGCGGCACCTCCTCTTCCGGATAGGTTTCAGCGAAATTGAAACTGGGCAGACTCTGCGCTCCTCTTGCCACACGCCTACGGCAATCCGTCAGGTTAGCACTGCGCGCTCCCCGCGTTCGACCGGCGAATAATTCACACCACCTCCTCGGCGGCCACGGTGAGACTATGCTGAGTCTGGACGGGATATGGCAGGCGTCGTGTGGCCTGCGGCCTCAGTCTTCCAGGATTCAGCGCTGTCCTTCCACCTACGGCGCTGCGCACGGCGAGGAGACTGGCCAGGACGCCGGCCGCGCCAAGAGAAAGCCCGAACATTGGGATAAGCTGTTTCGAATGATAGCTAGTGCAGAATGTGTAGTGTTCGTAATGCTTTACAGTTATTATGCGACTTTTAAGAAAACGTAACGCCCAAAACAACGAAAAGGACCAAAACAAATTAAAAGCATTGACCGCCGCCACGTCGCTCTGATTGCCTCCCCCGCCGCTCTGACTACTTCCCCGCCGCTCTGACTGACTCCCCGTTGCTCTGGCTGCCTCCCGCCGCTCTGGCTGCCTCCCGCCGCTATCAATGCCCGCCTCCCCGCCACACTGACAGCCACCCCCTCCACAGGTCCGGGTCAGCCGCCCGCGGATCACCGAGCACCCGTCGGACGCGACCGTGCCGCGCCTTAGCCCCGTGACCTTGAACTGCCAGGCGGCCGGGTCACCGCCGCCGGCCGTCCGCTGGGTCAAGGACGGCCGGCGACTGGCGGCAAACACGGCGCACCGCGTGCTGCTTCCGCGCGGCTCGCTCTTCTTCCTGAGCGTGCGCCGCCGCGACGCCGGCGTCTACTGGTGCGTGGCCGACAACAGGCACGGCCGCGATGCGAGCCGCAACGCCACGCTCGTGGTGGCAGGTCAGTGACGGCGCCTGCCCCGCCGACTCGCGAGAGAGGAGGGGTGGGGGCAGGGGGTGAGATGCGCGTCGTCCCTGGCCGGCCGGGGGTTGGAAACGAGCTGTGTGCGGTATGCTGGCAGATTTGTGCTTGATTTTGTTCGGATGGAATTTATTCGGAATCTGATTAAAAGTGAATGGAGTTGAATCCGGATCCGACTGAAACCAAAAGTCGGATCGAATTAAGTCGGATTATTATTTGTGCCCACTGCAGACAGGCACCAGTCCGGCTGCGGCCCCACCACGTCTTGAATGGCCAGGTTTTCCATAGCGTGCAAGTGTTTTGATCGTGGTCACTTGCTCATGAACGACAGGTAACTGCATAGTTTCTTGCAACTCAGCTGTCGAGGACAAGGTAACCTTTGCAGGGGTACGGCACGCTTCCCTCCGACTCCAGACGAAAACTGTTCATTCCAGGAAAGACAGAAATCGTTGCCTATCACCCACGCCAGGAAAGGATCTGAGCTTTTCACAAGCATATCGATTCTCTTACTAGCACGTAATCCATCAAGGTGCCCGTTTCCAGAGTTCTAATCCTGTTTCAGGTAGAGAGCCTGAGCAGGTTCAGCCCACTCCCAAATCCAATGGCAGGAGAAAAATCACCGGGGCGATTGGTCTCATCTATCGCGTGGTGGGGAAACGTCGGTGGTCTGAGAGCGATTCCGCGCGCCTGGCGGTCCCGCCTCCCAGACAATGAGTTTCCGCGCCACCGCGCGCGCCGGCCCGAGGGAAGCCCAAGGGTCGGCAGGCCAACGTGGCACGTCTGCCCGGTTTTACGGCGGCGTGGGCGTGCTTTTACGACAGGTGGTCGGATCGAAGGCGACGATCAAGCCCGTGGTAGGCGTGAGGGGGATTGGTGGCCGGACGGCAGACAGACCGGAGACAAACAGAGGCGGTTCGGACTTCGAAGACGTACCCAAGCGGTCGGATATCGGGGCGCCTCTCAGCAGGCGGACATCGACCGCCGCCGGCCAGTGCCATGCAGCCAGCTTGTGTCTTCGCCGTCAGCCTCCTCAACCAGCGTTTTGTCCCGCGGCTGAAGATCTCTCCGTCCATGTGGTGATACCAGGTCCGAAAACCGCCATCGTGCGGATGAGCCGACTCGTGGATCACGCGCGGGTCGGACGGGATGTGGCCATAGATCGCTCGTCCGCGGACGGGCGGCAGGAAGTGCTAAGTAGGGCGGTCGCTGATCGCGCCAGATAGAGCCCGTCGGCCGGCAGCAGCGCGGCCCAAACGTCCCATGAGGGCGCTGGTGCGTAAGCGCGATGGCTCGCTTCCAGGGCAGCTTCAGCGCGCCCGGAGCTGGAGTTGGAGCGGAACTGGAAGTCCGTGATGGTGTGGGAATCGTCGCGCTCAGCAGTAGCGCTGGACTGTGATGTCCGCTTCGTTTCTTTCCGCTATGGCCACTGGAGTCAACTTGGGGCTCGCGACATCAATGTGTGGTCATGTGGAATCAGACGCCGCCTGTTGGACTCTCGGATGGGTGGAGTTCCCGGAGTTCTCCTAGCCCAACACAGCTGGGGTGCTGCAGGGGCGGAGCGGCCAGTGTCTGGGCACTAGGTGTCCGGGCACTGTCCGGCCGGTGTCCGGGCGCGAGGTGTCCGGACACTGTCCGGCCGGTGTCCGGGCGTTAGGTGTCTGGACGCTGTCCGGCCGGTGTCCGGTCGCTAGGACTAGCCCACTACACGACGCTGGGCCGGTGCCTCCGCCGCCCCCATGACCCGGTGGTGCGGCCCCGATCCGGGCGGGAGCAGGGCCCGCTGTGTATCGATTCACGGCGCGGCTCCGCGGGAGGCGCGGCGGCGCCCCTGTCCGCCCGCCTCCCGCGAATTTCCGGCCTCTTCCCCTGTACATCCATTACATCGGCAAACAATGAGAGCGAGAGAGAAGGAGAGGGGATAGAGTGGCCGGCGGTATCGCCTTGGCTCTATCTCAGCCCCAGTCCATGTTGTGGAGCTGTTGACGACCTTACATGTGGTGATGGCAGCTGGGTGACGGAGAACGCGTCCACGCATGGAGGCGTGGCCACGGCAGGCTACAGGCTACTGACAGCGGGTATATATCCTTAATATTTGAAATCGGCTAAGACTGAAAGGAAATGTAGTAGTAACGTGAGATATAGATGAAATATGATATTCAGCACCTGTGGCGTAAAATGTGCAGCCAAGCGCTTACCTTATTGCCAAGCATATGAGTGGGCATTTTGGTGAAATTATTCATATGCTTTAAGCTGATTAATAAGGAATGCAACGCACTGGTGGCGACGTATGTCCCATCGACGCTGCACATGGTTGTTGCCAACCTCTAAAGGCAATTACTACGTCTGTTGCTTTATTGATTCAAGGTTTTAGGGGCAAGTTTGTTTAGATCCGAACACGACAAAAGTTTTTGCATTGCATTATCAGCTGGTGGCAACTTTCACGACAGGCTCTTGTGTAATGCTTTCCTAGAGGCCATTTGCGGCATTTAGGCGAATTTCGTTCGCCTAAAATTAATGAAAACATGCTACGCTTACCCGGTATAGCTTTGCATTAGTTTTATCACTTATATTTCATTCTCACAACGGCGGTACACGTGTGACTTTTGTGTCGGTTATTTTGGATGACGTATCGGGTCATGAAGAGGTGCACAAAGTATGGTAACGGTGACAAAGAAAATATGAGCGGCGAAACCCACTAAAGGGGCGAGCCGGCCTGGGTGCATTCTGCCCGGACTGACGGTGCTCTGCCCATCGGGGAGCACCTCAGGTGACGGCGATCTAGGATACGTCAATGTTGAATCCAACTGAGAAGAGACGACGTAAGACGACATGGGCCAAATGGTCTTAATAAGAACACAAACCATTCCAAAAAAGGTGAAGGGGTCCATATTTCCCGTATGAATGTATTTGGGTATTGAATAATATTTTGAGCGAACAAGACACTTGCATTGCAGCATAGCGGCGGTAGGCTTTACTGCAGCAATGTATGCTGTGTTTATACACTTAGATAATTGCATATGCATGTCGCTGACAGGTTATTAGCCCATCGGTGTTCCAGTCTCCTTCCATAAAAACACTTGGACGCATGACGCTGCTGCACAGGAGCGACAGGCGAATGACCGGCTGGGGCGGCGAGGGGATTATTGGCACTGGAAGTGATGGAGAACGCGCGACGTGGTCTCATTTGTGATGTTCAGCGACTGGGAGCACGGAGATGTGCCTTCGACGAGGGCTCTCGCCTGCGCTCAGCGCAGTGCCTGACATCTCTCCCCGACTCCCGGCGAGCAGAGTGATATGAGTTGGAGGCTCTTATTCTGACAATAACCGGCTTTCATTATAACAGGAGGTGCTAGGTAAACGATATAAAGTATTGTTTATCAAGAACATATTGACTTTATTGGCAAAACCTGATGTTTCAAGTTTGCGGAAAAACCCGAGGAGCTCAAGACCTTCCTTGGCAATATTGAACAGGGCTTGTTGGGTACAATGTATCTGGCGAACACCACCGGGCGTGTGCCAAATTTCCGGAAGCAATTGGGCTTCACACCTCAAACAGGACCTCTATCCCTGGCTCAATGCATAAACTAATAGCCCGTATATCTACCGCTGGCTAAATCTTGATGGAACTGACATGGTGGTATTTTGAATGTGTATTTGGCAGATATGAGGATTACCCTGCGAAATATCCCAATGAAACCCCCAAAATAAGTATTCAAATGTCCTTGGTCTAACTAATAAAACCCACGACCAGACATGTGCATGGAAGAGTTAAAACATAAATGATGCTGGTTCTGCCAAAAACCTTTCCGGATTATGCAAGCAGATTATCTACAACGAAGAAAAATCAGGCATTTTTATAGGCATAGATGAAACTAGCATGCAGAGGAAGATGGCTGGAAAGTCTCCATTTGCGTATTGATGGTTTTGCTCATCACCTTGCGGGTGAGAAGCATATGCATACTGGATTGCAAAATAATTGTGCCAGTTACACTAAACGTATACGACTTCTGTAACGAGCTGTCATAAAGCCCATCTCGCATATTTCTTACGCGTGTTGCTGCATGAATGCAATCGGGATGTGGCTGCGTGAACACTTAATTTAGCTACATTTATGCCAATAAGTCATCTTTTTCGGCGAAGTTTGACAAAAAAGAGGGGTTTCCTGCCTTGGCGTTGCACACCGATCGCTCGCGCCGACATGCTCCCACTCAGACGAGAGAAACTTGTGCTTGCATATCCCATGATGACCGCTTTGGCCGGGCACAAATATGACGTTTATTCGGATACGCTAGCCAAATAAAACAAACTAAACCACCAAGTAAAAACTATAAAAATCAAACCAAATCAAGTGTTCAGCTAGCTTTCCTAAGCTTGAATCCCGTGCTTAGTTGATTTTCGTCTTATTGAAATAGATGCACATCTATTTATATCTTACTGTATTCAATTACATTTAAGCATGCATTTTATTATTCAAACACGCATATTGTTATACTCAAGCCTGCACATCCAGATGCCCGAACGCCGAAATTAAACAGAAAGGTGATTGATCACTTACGACGGTGATTATCATGGTGATGGATATACGCCAGGTGATTTATTTATGTTAAAGTCTGAGAGGTGTCGTATTAAACCATACGGTTGAGGTGGTGTGGCTTATCCTTTACAATTCACCACAGCTGTGAATGGTAAGCGCCACGTCAATAATGCAAACATGAACAGTACCAGCGTAAACGAGGCACATGCAAGTTGATGGCGGCAAATTCTGCTGTGTTCGGGTATATGACGCAAATTACACTTAAGAGTGATCTAGGTGTCACTGAATGTGACAGACTCTGATGTCTCTGATGTGAACCCAGTGAATTCAACCTGAACCCTGTGACGTGCCTGGTCATCGCACAATTGAAGTCCGTCGTGTTTATAAACGCTGATCGAGAACTTAAGTGCAGTGAGTGGTGGTTACTTTGCTTCGGCTTGCCTTTCAGCAGAGGTGTGATCATTTACCGTTACATGCTTACGCGTCTCGAACGCCAAGCCACGTAAAGGCACAGGCAATTTTTTTCCATGCCGTCTGCGGCAAACTGCTGCAGAACGACTGCCGCTGTTCAAGGTCAGCCAGTTACATTGCGGGCTTCTATTGGTTGTGTTATGGGCTCTTATTGGTCGCTTGCAATAGGTTAGGTATTGTGACGTCACATGATCTTGCATCGCGTCATGTGCAAACGCTAGGTTGGCAGCTATGACTGTATATGTTATATTCTGGAAGATTGCTTGTCACATTTGCGCCATCATTTTATCACTTTTATCTCTTCAAATTCAGCTCAGTTATGTTGAACAGGGCTTACGACAAGCCAGATTAGGTCAATACAATACGTCTGGAGCTGGGAAAGGCGCTTTGCGTCGTAAGCCAATCGGGGCCTTTGGATTGATCCTGGAGGCAGAGAGGTGCGAGCTACCGGTGGGCAGCCGGCCGAGCGGATGCGGCCGGATATGATAAGGAACGCAATTTCAGTGGAGAGACGGAGCCGGAAATGGTTCTTGGAGGAGAAGAATAGGTGGCTCTCAGTCACGTAGGAGCAGATCTGTGGCTGCACAGCTTCGCAAGGCGAGGAGGTCAGAATCAGTGGAGCGGCGTCTAGGATTGACGGCCCCGGAAGGAGAGTGCCGGGGTTGACGCAGGCTTGTGATGCTGGCAATATCTGAGGGTGTGGTCGCGCGCGTAACGATTACAAACTGCCGTCTCTGATGGAGAGCTGTCCAATGTAGCCATTAAAGACATCCATTTCTTATTTGGTGTTACTGCAATTTGGTTTCGGCCACAGCGACAGGTTCAGTGACAGTTGACTATCAATACCAACTTGTCATTCGCACACAACTCAGGCCTTGGCAACACCATAAGGTGCTCCCAGTGCCACCGACCTCGCTTGTAGGCTCTTCTCCACAGGCGCGCAGGTCGGGAGAGCCCGCTCCGCCAGCGCCGCTGGACAGCGCACCTGTTGGCCCATCTTCGGCGGAAGGCGCCGAACAGCTCCCCAGAGTGGCACGCGTCAAGTGGAGCTCGCACGCCCAGACAGGCTATAACGGCGACCGCAAATGAGCGGCGCCTCAGGGCTGACGGCAACGGCGCGCGCGTCCTGCCGCGCTGCTGCCAGGGGAGACATCGCCGTGTCGCGGCGCGGTGCGCTGTACAAAGCGGTCCGTATTTCGGGACGACCGTAGTCCGCCTTCGCGTATCCAGCGGGGTTAGACCACATTCGGGCCGCGAAGCTGACCAGAAATTAACACATTAGCCGGGCATAAACGGTAAGAGCTGGGGCATTACAACAGCGATTAGCCGGCGGGAGTAGAGGTGGGACAGCTCACTCGAGGTCTCTCAAGTCCTGGGGTTCAGAGCGGCCCCAGTCAGTGACTGCCCAGCTCGAAAAAGCGTGCATGATTTTTACGTGTGGCGCGCACATGCAGATGGGCTGGACTCTGGAGTCGTACTCTACCAGATTTTTTCCTCATACTTCCCAAATATTGGTGTTTACAGTGGGCCGTGTAGTGGGCCCGAGTGCGCCCAGAATGTGGTCAATGTCGTGTCGCGCCGTACAGGCTGTGATTCCAGTCTGCCGGTACAGCAGGAGTATGACGACAGGTCCAGACCACTGGCGGAAAAGTCCACAGTGGTACTAAGCTTACCTCTGTTCTGATCCGGCTGCAGCAAGAAACGTTTGAAGCGCGCTACAAGGATGCATGGGAACCTCTGATCATGAGTTTCTTACAATCGCTTTTGACGCTTCTGGCACATGGGGCACGTCAGCTTTTCTCCTCCGTCAAGCACCGCTTCCATGGTAAAAAGGTCAAAGGTAAACCACGACTTACTGAGCTCAACTTCTAGCCACCAGGCACAGCGCAATATGCGTTAGAGCACACAACGGTACGTTATCAGTCTTAATTACCAGGTCAAGGTGCTTTGTATTATCTCTGTCAGGGAGTTGGGAGTAATGCGAGGTTAGCGTGTTATTTGGCTCGTGCTTTGTCAGCCCGGTGTGACGTGTGGGTTTTCGGTGGCGCTTTTACGCGTTTTTGGTTTTATGTTGCTTCTAAATAACCCCCGACCTCTCGTTACGTATCCGACTGATGCGCACCACAGCTTCAGGACGAGATTAATGAGGATGATAATATGAAAGCTGCTGACAATACCAGGATGACGCAAATAAACGTCACGTTGCATGCAAACACAACGGACCTGGAGACGACCAGTAGAACGTATGAGACGGTGCTGTGCGCATGTTGATAATCATGGCTAAGAAAATGCCATGCATGGTGTAGGAAAGAAATATCCTGATGCGGCGACACCCACATTATCTTTCTCCCGATCCTTTTTTCTCGTTTCTCGCCCCTCTTCCTCCCTCGTTTTTGCTTCATGTTACCCCGGGACGTCACGCGTCATTACGGCTTGCCTGGCACTGTGTCCGTTCCGGTCGGGACAGCGCCGCGGTGATCCCCCTCTTCCGGAGCTGTGTCCAGCCTGAAGACACTGCAGTCCCACCCCGCTTGGTGGTCCCCTCTCACGGCTCTGTTCTTCCTGGTATCCCTCTCTCTCTGGTTGCTCCGTCCTGCCTGCAGAAGCCATCTCGCGGCCCTTCTAGGCTCGGGTATTTTGTTCCGGCGACTCTGCTCACACGACACCCTCTCGCGCGACCCTGCTTTGCTTTTTTTTGGACGCTCTGCCCCGGTATCGTTATGTCGGGGTATCACCGCTCCGTCCGTCCCGTTATGTCGGGGGACCGCCGCTCCGTCTGTCCCGCTACGTCGGGGTATCACCGCTCCGTCTGTCCCGTTATGTCGGGGGACCGCCGCTCCGTCTGTCCCGCTACGTCGGGGTATCACCGCTCCGTCCGTCCCGTTATGTCGGGGGACCGCCGCTCCGTCTGTCCCGCTACGTCGGGGTATCACCGCTCCGTCCGTCCCGTTATGTCGGGGGACCGCCGCTCCGTCCGTCCCGTTATGTCGGGGGACCGCCGCTCCGTCTGTCCCGCTACGTCGGGGTATCACCACTCCGTCCGTCCCGTTATGTCGGGGGACCGCCGCTCCGTCTGTCCCGCTACGTCGGGGTATCACCGCTCCGTCCGTCCCGCTATGGCGGGGTATCAACCACTTCCGTCCGTCCGCTATGTCGGGGGCAACGCCGCTCTGTCCGTGCCGCCATATCGGAGGACCCGCCGCACGGCCCGCCACATTAGCCGCCGGCCGGAACAGACCACCAGCAAAGTCGGCCTGCCCGTCCGCGCCGTTTCTTCTGACATCCCTCACTAGTCACCCCCTCCCTCCCCCCCCCCCCGCTGCGGACCCGCCGCAGCAATCCGCATCCATTCAGCGAGCAAGTCTCAGCCGAGCGGCACAGCGCCACCGCGGCCGCCGACGGCCCGTCATCTCCCTCGTTTCTCCCGCGGAGGGGGCACGGACTGACGCATCATGTCACCGACTCCCTGGGAGCAGTCGTAAAGCTGCGGGCAGCCGCGCTGTCGTCCTTGCGACGAGAGACTCCATTTGGCGCGCTGGGTCGCGTCCGCTGACCATCGCCGCGATGTTGTCGGGCGCCGCGCGTTCATCATGATCTTTTTTACACACACCGTTTGGGACGCCTGTCAATAGGTGGATTTCATGCATTGCTGCAGCCGCGAGCTGCGGGAAGCAGCGGCGGCGGCTGAAACATCAAAGCATGTACAGCGCAGCCCGCATAATCAACACTGTTGCCATTCTGTCGCTCCTCCAGCATCGTAAGAAGCCCATCTTCTTCAGAGGAAGCCATGCAGCGGGGTTGAAGCTCCGGAAGCCGAGAAGCCGATTAGCGGGACGGCCCGGTGGTGTCCGTCGCAGCACGGGACGGCCCGGTGGTGTCCGTCGCAGCACGGGGGCGGCCCGGTGGTGTCCGTCACAGCACGGGGCGGCCCGGTGGTGTCCGTCGCAGCACGGGGCGGCCCGATGGTGTCCGTCGCAGCACGCGGCGGCCCGGTGCGCGCCTGGCTGCAGTGCCACCGAGTCAGCCTCACCGGCTGTGTGGCGTTGCAGTGCTGCGGGAGGAGTTCCGGGTGCGGCCGCTGGATGCGGAGGTGACGGCTGGAGAGCGGGTCACTCTGGCGTGCTCACCACCCAAGGGCGACCCTCCGCCGACCGTGCGCTGGCTGCGAGACGACACCGGGCTGGACCTCACGGCCAACGACAGGTACAGGCGGTGATGTCCGACGACAGGTGCAGCCGGGGCTGATGTCCGGCGGCAGGCACAGCCGGGGCTAATGCCCGACGGCAGGTACAGACGGGGCTGATATCCGACGGCAGGTACAGACGGGGCTGATGTCCGACAGCAGGTACAGACGGGGCTGATGTCCAACAGCAGGAACAGACGGGGCTGATGTCCGGCGGCAGGTACAGACGGGGCTGACGTCCGACGGCAGATACAGACGGGGCTGATATCCGACAGCAGGTACAGATGGGGCTAATGTCCGACGGCAGGTAGAGACGGGGCTAATGCCCGACGGCAGGTACCCGGAGGTCTGGTGCTCAGCGGCAGGTACAGGGCGGGCATGACGCACGACGACTGGTACGAGATATATCGCATCACGTCCGACAACAGGTGCAGGGAAGATCACATCTCACGTCCAGCGACAGCTGCCGAAGAGTTTCGACTTGTATGTGACCGGCACGGGACGAGCTTTATCTCTTGTGTGAGGACAGGTTCTGACACTGACGTTTTCAAGCTTAATGTCTGATGTCGGACGTTCTGGCCCATTTCATGCTTAACGATAGGCACGAAACTGTTTCCGCATGCCATTGTCGGGCACAAGGCACCTTTCAGTACCTTTGCCTACAAACCTGCGTGTTAAGGTACACGTTGATCCCTCCTGGCCCAAACGTAACGCCGGCTGAAGCCTGTTGTGAACTACTAGACGTGATCTGAAGTGGTGTGACGTCATCCCAGGTATCACCTGGCCGGCGAGGGTGACCTGGTGATAGAGAACGTGACCCAGCACGACGCCGGAAACTACGTGTGCGAGGCCAGGAACTATGCGCAGATGAAGCGACTCTCGGCGGCCGCTCGGCTCACTGTACGAGGTACGTGATTCACCGCCGAGGGGGTGAGGGGGGTACACAGGGGGCAGGTCATTGGAAACACGGCGGTGAGTTGGAGGAGTCACTAGAGACACGTTGGGTGGGCTGGAGGCCATCACTGGTGGTGAAGACCACAGGCGAGACGATGGGTGGACTGGGGCAGGATCTGCCGGCGAGACCGTGGGTGGGCTGGAGCAAGATCTGCCGGCGAGACGGTGGGTGGGCTGGAGTAGGATCTGCCGGCGAGACGGTGGGTGGGCTGGAGCAAGACCTGCCGGCGAGACGGTGGGTGGGCTGGAGTAGGATCCGCCGGCGAGACGGTGGGTGGGCTTGAGCAGGATCCGCCGGCGAGACGGTGCGCGGGCTGGAGCAGGATCTGCCGCAGTGTAAGGGTGACCCTGGCCGAGGTATCTTCAGCTCAAAGCGCGGGAGCTTGACCGGCGTCTTGGCGTCACGCTCATGTTGTCATGCTTGCTATACGGCATAAAAAACAGAAAGTTTTAGTGCCATGCGTTATTTTTTGTCTGATCTCGCTCAGAGAAGGCTTCATGTGCAAAACGGTGGAAGCGGACAGAACGTCGCAGTAATTCAAAGATGAATGGAAGTTTTAAGATGGTTGACTATTTTTGAGGATGAAAGGCTAAGCACCGTGCCAAAAATTACAACACTCCACTACAGAGCGACGACATAGCATTCGCGCACTCAGCCAACTGCGCTGCTTACTTTGTTGGATCTTGTTGACCCTCGGCCTCTGGATTTTGTTCTGTCCGGCGACTAACACTCGTGGTTCCACCCGTGGCGCCGACGGCTCGCTAAGGGGAGCCGCAGCTAGAACCCCGCTTCGGCCCTGCTGGGATGGGGTCATAACTAAAAGCGCTTCGTTTAAAAACGAAAAGGCTAGCGACGCGCTGGTTCGTTTCATCTTCCATAAGAGCTCGTTTCACTTATTTTCCCTTGAAGAAATGGACTTCATAAATTTTTATGCGCAGGCGGCGTTTGTTTGCGTCGGTGACAGTTGGCCACGGCGCTCTGCCTCGCTCTCCTCCCCCTCTCCCCATCTCTCCCTCTCTCTCCCTTCCCGACCCTCTCTGCCCGGCGTGTTTTCTACCCCGCGGGAGAGCAGGCGGGGCGCGTGAGGCTGACGGCGCTGCTGATGTTGATCCCGCCAGCTGGTTGGCATGCAAAGGGTGGCGGATCAGCGGAATCAATGGCGTCCGGGGACGGTGGCAGGCCGACGGAAAATGCGCCGCGATTTAGATAGAGGCATCGCGCGAGGATTTGGGGAATCCGGTGGGAACGCCTGTTGTGGTCGGGTAGATCATGATGCTTGCGGCAGTGCCACTAAAGAACGCATCCCTCTCCTGTAGCACCTATACCGAGCTAAAGAGCATTACGTAGCTTGTAGCATTGCATGTCTGAGCGTAAAAAGTTGACCCGTGTGTCCTAATCCTCCCTGGTAATTTGCTGCGTGCAGTAATTGATCGCCAGATCTTGGCGATGAGAGGCAGTTGGGGCTGAGTGTTCCGTGAGGGACCGGCGTGATTTCCCTTTATTACTGGTATAGCTCGCTGGCATTGTGCCGACGATCCTGCCTAATGGCGAATAAATGCGCCTAATTCCGCAGGGTCAGCGGAGACGGTAAGTCGATATTGTGCGACGCGTGAGGAAAGCGGTGGGGATCCTCGTCCACGGAGCTCCATTGGTCTGCGGCTCGTCACATGGCCGCGAAATAAATGTGGCAACGGTGTTGGCCAAGACGCTTTTTTCCGAAACACATCGTATTGCATTGCATATTGCATCGCACTACAAAACACATTGCAATGGAGAGGAAATTTATTGGCATAGGACGTCGACCTTGATGTCCACCTGTTGGGTGCCGTTAGTATGATTTGCTTCTGGGATGAGGAGAGTTTGAACGTTGTGAAGAGGAAAGGCGTCTTGGTTCTTGACACCAATGTTGCACTCATTGTGCGGCCAACATATATCGGCCCAGCAGTCTGTCAGGTTGATCGCTTGATCGAAATTAGACATATTATATATAATATATATATATATATATATATATATATATATATGTAGGTATGTTTCGAAAGACTTTCAACAGTGTATCGTTACCAGTTAAGGCCTTTCAAGCCAGAGCCCTCATCACTTATTATGCCGGTATGCCAACTGGCCTACGAGGGTGTTGCGTTGGCTGTTCAGTTTGGGTAAGTAACGGTGTCATTTTTTCAAGCATCCCGATTCTCCTTAACACTTAAGGAGTTACGTGTTAAGAGTGACTAAGTCATTTTCTCTCATCAGCCCATTCCGAAGCCGCCAATGGCTCCAGTGACGTCACGACGCTGCCGGGCGGGGCGGCCGAGCTGACCTGCCCGCTGGCTGACGACGGGACCGGCCTGGTCCGCTGGCGGCGCGTCGACGGCTCGCCGCTGAGGGGCACCAACCGAGCTCACGTGCTCACCATCGATGACGTCACGGCCGCTGACGCCGGCGTGTACGAATGTGGACGGGGCTCGACATCAGCCGCCGTCAGCCTGACCGTCCACGGTGAGTTACCGGCTGGGGCTGGGCCGGACTGACGTCATCAGGTGCGGACGGGTGCCATCAGGTCTGGACTGGTTTGGGGGCCAGGCGGTGGCCTTTCCGAGGGCAGACATGGGAGGCTCAGACTGGGTGTTCAGTGCGAAACCCATTGAGTGTTCTGGTGAAAGAAGACTGGAGAATGCGCCAGTCATAGTCCCGTGCATGCCCTATATCTGGTCCGTGCGTACTACTTGGGCGAAAAATATTTGGTGTAGAGGCCCTTATTGTTTCCTCTGAGAAGGCCCTTGAGCCGTTCGAGTGGTTCAGAAGAGCCGAAGTTCAACCGTTTATCATTTAACTGCGAACTGTTCCATAAAAGTATCATCTCCATGCAAATTTTCAGCCTTCAAGGGGTAGTTCCACTTCGATCATGGCCGTAAAGTTTTTGTACTCGGCGGTCGTATATTCAGCTGTCTCATCTGGGACTAGGCTATGACCCTTCGGCTTAGAAGCTCAGCGTTGGGCGTGCCGAAAGTTTCAGGAGCTTTCTCCACATTTTTCTCGCGATATTAGTTTGCTACATTCAGGTGCCTCAGACTTGCCTTCGTTTTAAATATCACGTGGCTCAGCTGGCATTTCATCAATTGTTGACGATGGCTATGCGTATATATATATATATATATATATATATATATATATATATATATAGATATATATATATATATATATGTATATATATATGCATATATATATATATGCATATATATACATACATATATATATATATATATGTATGTATGTATATATACATATGCTTTTTTCGGTGGGCTCATGCTTATCCTCCACCGTGACGATGATGTAGCAAATACAGGCGATTTCAATAACAGGAAAAAGCCAGGTCGACGGACTAGTGAACTGTTGCTGGATGAGGGCGTCACAAAACATCTGAGGTTTTTCGGAACTGAATTGTGATTTACTGTGCGCATTATGCTTAGATTTTCGGTAAATACGGTCACAGTGGTTTTAAATGTTCTCCAAAGAGTGATGAGTAGGCCACGAATGATGGCCTCGCTGTTGATGTCGTTGTCGTTGATGGCCTCGCTGTTGATGTCCTGCCGGCTGTATTTCACGTTCAGACGCCGATAACGTAGGTTTGCGGTAGAATCGCGCCATAAATCACTGCCCTGTGTTAGTTCACTGTATCTGCTTATAACGCTTTTCAATGAAGCGATTCTATAAAGAGCGGCGAGGAATTCAGGTCGCCCCAGGGCGACTGAGGTCAAATCAGGTTGTCCGCACGTTGAAGAAAAAATCCGCCTGGTGAGGTTCAGGAAAGTGACGTTAAAAACCAAGGGTTTGTTTGTGTAGATATTCTTGTTGAATATCAGCATTTTCCATGCGAATACAAAATGAAAGGCCTTGATAAAATGACCATGCCAGGGGTTGTTCCCAAGTGCATAACATGAAAGGCATTGAATGAATATATTGTTGACTGGAGCGAGGATGTTAAATACGCAGAACACGCCGATATGTAGTCTATCACGCTACCGTTTAGTCATTTATGTTGATAACCATGATCTAAAAATGACTCATATCCGTCATTTGATGCCACCGTAATGCTATACCTGACTGTTGGAAGTCACAACTGATATCTACATCCTAAGCGTGTGCTCTTACCAACCTCGAGCGAGAGTGCGTCACACTACTTCCTCTCAACTTCTCAGCCCTGCCTGAATTCCACAAGAGTCCCAGCGATCGGCTGGCCGCGGCGGGGTCAGAGGTCATGATGGACTGTGACGCCGCCGGGTACCCGGAGCCCATCACGTTCTGGACTCGCGGAGCCAGCGCCAAGGCCATGTTCCCCGGGCACGAAGAAAGGTCACTCATCATTTACAGCAACGGCACACTGCACATCCAGGTGGGGCGCTGGTAAAGGTCAGAACAACGTATTCTTCGCTCTCCTCCTCTCTCTCTCTCTCTCTCTCTCTCTCTCTCCTCTCTCCTCT